AAATACTTAATAACTAAGTATATCTAACAAGATAAATATAACATTATCATTGATATTCTCGAGTGTTAAGTCTAGTCTTTTGAGTTGAGCGTCGCATCGTCTACTGACTGTGACTACTTACCTCGCTTTGGGGCTGAGTCCAGGTTTGATGTTTATTTACTCAACCGATTTACGGATGGGATTTTCGTGTCTCAAATGTCGGATTACTGTTTTTCTACAGAGATGATAATTAATAAAAAAAAAAACAGTAGGGTTTTTACTTCATTGGAAATTAATATCTAAAATTTATTAATACTTTTATTATTATTATTATTATCATCTTCTTGTCTATAACTTTGCACACTTATCAAGGATTAATGACAATATTATAATTCGATCTTCAGGATTTCCGGTTATTTATCAATTAGAGACATTTCATTCATTTTACAATTAAAAAAAAATTATAGTTTAAAAAAGTAAAATAAAAAACGAAACTAATAGGTAGAAAATAATTTATTTTATCGTAAAAAAAAAAGAAGAGTAATTGCTGTAAATGTTTTATTGACAAAAATTGGTGACAAAAAAAAAGTAGAGTCATTATAAAAATATCTTAAAAAAAAACCCCCACCTTTTTTTTACAATAGAATTAATTACTTTAATATTATTTTAAAGAAAATTCTAATTTAAAATTACTCTCTCTACTTTTTAGATTGGATTTTTATTTTTAATTTTTGTTTTTATAATAATAAAATAAGAGTTAGAGAAGAGAAAGTTTGAAATACTTAATCGATTTTCTTTATTCCTGCAATCCGGAGATTATTCTATTACAAGGAGTGTAAACAAAAGTGTGGTCTATCCAGGGGCGAGAGAAGGACGGAGAACGCAAAGAGCTAAAATTGCGGATTGCGGATGAATGAAGGATAGAGAATTCTCCTATACTATATCCGCACTCGATCTTGTTTAGTTTGAAAATACGTCATTGTTTCAGTACGATAAAAAATTCACCGCTCGGGTAATTACACTTGGGATCGATTCCCGCCTACGGCTCCTTCTACTGGGTTACTGACTTAGGGCCGACCTTTCTGTCTATTAATAAAATAAAAAATAAAACGATGGAAGATTTAAATAATTAAATAGTTTTCATCGATAAAAAATCTGGTGATATATATATTTATAACAAAATTAAAAGTTGGTTACAGAGAAAAAATCTTGAGCCAAGATTATTTTAAAGTGGACCATTTTTAATTAAGAATTAAAATTTAATAAAGAAAAAAAAAATTTTTTCTTCTTAATTAAAAACAATTAAATTTTTTTAGGTAAAAATTATTTTTTCACTTTCATAAAGTTAATTTTTATTTTTAATTTTTTATGGCATAAAAATAAATTATTTTTATGTAAATATAAATTATGTCCTTTCTTATTATTGTTATCTATTAGTTGTAAATATTAAAAATTTATCGATTATATTTTTTTATTATGAATATAAAAAATGTATTCTTAAATAATAATGTTCAATTATCTATATTATTGATAGAATAAGCAAAATTTTATTCTCACCAATAGTCAATTTATGATGATAAGTATTTAGGTTGCATTCGAAAATGCTCTATCTCTAGATACATAATTAAGAAATGACCTTGTATCTCGTAAACTATTGACATATTTAAAGATATAAGCTCATCTCGATGTTAAACTCATTGAGACCTTTCATTTGAGTACCCACATCAATTTTTCATATATTTTATATATTTATATATATGTATATATGAAAAATATATCAAAAATGCATGTGGAAACTCTAATGAAAGCTCTTGATGAGTGTAACATCGGGATGAGCTTATATCTTTAAAAACGTCAATAGTTGAGAAAATACAGGGCATTTTAACAAATATCTCGTGAACTATTGACATTTTTAAAAATATAAGCTCATCCTGATGTTATATTCATCAAAAGCTTTCATTTGAGTACCCACACGGGGTGAGCTTATATCTTTAAAAATGTCAATAGTTAAAAAAGTACAGTGCAATTTAACAAAAGTCATTTTTTAATAAAGCAAAATTTTATTTATTTATAGTTCACAAGTCACGGCAGTTACATAGGTTGCTAGTTTGACATTAAAATTTTTCCATTAAATTTTTACTTCAAAAGAATAAAAAATAAAAATTTGCAAAAGTCCTTACGGCTATAATTGCAAATAAACTCTTTAAAAACAAAATAAAATAACTTAACTAAAAAAAAATTTCAACTGAAGCCCGCAAAAATCTGTTAAAGTAATAACCTGATCTGTAAAATTAAAAAGATTTTTAATAGTCTTCTCTCCCAAGCAAGATCCGAGCTGTTTGCCTTTTATTAAACTCTTGTTAAACGCTGGCTTCCATTGTCCAGACAATTGAATCGGCAAAACAGCGGAGATAATGCCGGATTCTCAGCCCACGAGCTCTCTCCTTTCTGTGTAGCCCTGCGAGAATAAGTTGAGTAAAAGTAGAGAAAGATATCCATCCCTTGGAAGAAAAAAACCCTCTGTGGTTTCTTCCCTTCTCCATTGTGTCTAATTTTTTTCATCCAAGTCCCGAAATGGACACCGTGTAATCGTCCCTTTATTCGGTCTCTTACCTGCGATAATACTAGCTCCATATGTACCATAGATCCATCCTATCCGTATTCGAAGCACTCGTGGCTGATTCCAAACATCCAACCATACCAATTGAATTCTTAAGTCTAATACTTAATATAATATAATATAATATAATACTGAGGTGGTCTTTTCCACGCACTCTTATGCCTTCCATCCTTTACTTTTTGATTCCTCTCATCTATACATACCTATACATTCATACTCTCATATATATATCACAAAGTATAATATAGTAGCCAATGAAAATATTTATACATTTAAGAATAGACCTCCTCCCACGGCGGATTCACTAAAACGATCTTCATTGTTATCGGCAATAGATACTCTCTTTACTTAAATATAAAAATATTTTTCCTTTTACATTTGTAACATATATAATACCACTGGGAAAATATATATATATGTATCTAAGGAAGATTAACGCATGAATGACAGCTTTTCAATAGATAAATTCAGCAAGATTAAATTATTCATCTCAGTAAATTTTATTCCAACTCTTTATTTTCAAAATTCACATCAATACTCAAAAATAAATGCATTGTAGTTTTATTTTATTTTTTTTTTTTTGAAGTAACATTAATTATATACAAAACTATATATTTATCAAAGGCAACTATTTGTTATTTAAATATTTATAAAAATTCAGTTATATTTTTAATAGCAAGCTCATATTTGTTTTTTTAAATTCATAAAAATTATATTTTAAATTTTGATTCAGTTCAAAATAACTTTCTTATATTTGGCTATTTTTAATATATTGCTCTATTAGATTTTTTTTACATTTATTTGTTTTTATTGACTAGTAGTGATAACTAATGAATAAATACAAAGATAAAATAAACGAGATTACTATTAATTTTATTTTTTTTCAAATGATGCTGGCTTAAAATACTAATTTGGAATTATTATTGAATAAAAAAAAAATAAGTAATAATATTTTAGATTTTATAATTAATTTTTTTTTAAACTACTCCTGATCACTCAAAGGCATTATAACACTAATTTATAGACTGTAATTCGTATAAAAATACTTAAGTTTAACCCTGACAGGTTCTAAAATCTTTACGGTGATATTTTATTTTCTGATTTTTATTTTTGAATTAACTTATAAACTTTCATAGTATAGATTTTTAAAAAATGAGGTATAAATTTTTTTTTTTTTTTTTTTTTTTTTATTGGAGTCTTGTCTGAAAGCTCAAGAGCTTTGATATCAGAATTTAAAAATCTTAGATTGTTTTTAAGTATCTGTCTTTGAGCGATTCAATTAAACCTACGCTTAATAATTATTACAGTAATGTTATTGGTTAACAATTATTAACTTGTAAAATTTTTGTTTGTAAAAGTCAATTGAATATAAGAAAAGTATTCCAAAAATTTAATAATTATTTTTTCAGTAAAAATTAGTAAAAAAAACTTAAAAATTTTTATTTGACAAAAACCGCTAAACAAGGATGCGGTAAAAATGCTTCTAATTTTCAATTTTTAAAAACAGTCTGTAGTCGCGATATCAACCTTTATATTTTAACTTACCGGCTAAATTCGTTCGTTAAACTAAATAATTAAAGTAAAAATAAATCGGGGGTACTCTGACATATTCGTATTTAAAAAAAAAAATTGTAACAAATAATAATTATAAAATATTTGTATTTTTATGAAATTTTCATCATTTTTAAATATATATTTAATTGAAAAATTTATTATCAAAATTGATTTTAATAATTAAAAATAATCAATTTAATTAATTATTAAAAATTCACAAGAACGTGGACAAATACAAAAAAATTTATATTTTTATTAAAACTATTTTTCTGTAAAAATTTGACCTTCTTGAGGCATCATAAACATTTAATTATCTTTTGTTTTTTTTTTTTTTAATTTTTTTTTAATAGAAATTCAATTATAACACACTCTACAAATTATTATAAATTAATGAGATTTTTTAAAATTAAACAGAATAAAAAAAAAACGAAAAAATTACAATTGCAGATTTTGTAAAAATTGCATTATAAAAAAAATATTAAATTTAAATCTGTAAAAATTAATATTCAAAATTTGAATTTTAAAAATGTTTTTTAGAACTGCAATTTTTTTAGTTTTAAATTTGTAGCGACACTAATTACTATTTTTAATATAATTTCTACATTTTTTTTAGCGTGTAATTAAAAATTTTTCTTTTAATAATTAAATAAAAATGTGTTAAGAAAAAAAAAAATTTCCCGTATTTTTTTACGCCTTGTGAATTTTTTTTTAACTGAATCGTGGTTCCGCCAGAATACCTTAAAATCGACCTTGTAAGTAGTATAGTAAGTCTACATATCTAGTGTCTAGAGCAACGTTGGCAACCAAAAAAAATTTCGAATGACTATTATATTTTAAAATTGAAATATTAATGAGCAAGTGAATGCTGAGGCTCTGTGAAGGACATCTCCATGGTGACACCGCCGCTGCTGCGTCTGAAGCGGTTTGATATGTCGAGACTATTGTTGCGGGGCTTACGTCTCCCGAGGTGTCGTTCCACCCACTTAAGCATCGTCAGAACAGAGTCGGTACTGGGTAATCTTCTCTCTGCTGATGTGCGGACAATGTGGGAAGACGTGATGCGGAAGGTAGCGGCCATTCCTTTCAATGCCTGAAAAATTGATCTTTTTTTTAGTCTTGTAAATAAAAAAATTAATCCTGATAATTACCTTCATAGCGTCTTCATCGGTGGCGTCGTCACCAGCGTAAATTATTCTTATTCTTTCACTCCAATCGAGACCGAAAGCAGTGCGTAGAATGTATATTGAAGCACGTCCTTTATTCCATTCAACTGGTGGTTTAGCCTCTATAGCGCAATGAGCGCTACAAGCTTTAAAACCAGCTTCTTCTATTAATTTTTTTGCTTGCTGGACTAAGTTGCCTCGAATTTCTATTGGGGTTTCGCGGTAGTGGAAGGTTAGCAAGGCTCCTTTATTTTCTACCCAAGCACCATCTCTGCAGAGCTGAAATTAAAGTTTAGGATTTTTATTTTATTATTTATAAACAACCTTGCAGTTACTACGTGACTGCCGGGACTTGTAAACTATAAGTAAATAAAATTTTGTTTCATTAAATCATGCCTTTTGTTAAATTGCACTATACTTTTTTAACTCTTGACGTTTTTAAAGATATAAGCTCATCCCGATGTTACACTCATCAAGAGCTTTCAGTTGAGTGCCCACATGCATTTTTGATATATTTTTCATACATA